CATTCGCATGAATGGCGGCGACTGGCGACAGCAGAAGCAGAGGCGCAACATGAATGTATCTGCTTTATATTAACAAATGAATTGATTGCAGCAAAAGGAGCGACAATAATAAACAGTGCCACTGCAAAAAAAAAAAAAAAAAAAAAAAAAAAAAAACAGAAAAGAAGTGGAAACTGCAGAAGTAGAAACAACAGGCCGCAGGGCAATGTTTGAATGCAAATAAATTTGTAACTTTACAACACATAATTTTTTATTGGTAAATAAAGTACTTGACGTTCTTCTTCGTATTTTTGTTTTAGTTTGCTTTCGCAATCAATTCAGTTTGTTTAACCTTAATGATAACAGGGCCTGACACAACAACGAACTAAATATTGTATCAATGTCAAAAGCAAAGAATCACCACCAACCAACCAATAAAACAAACGAATGATTGCGTCCATCCACCCCAGCCCTTTTTTAGTTAATTGAACTAAAATTCCCCACAATGGAAAAAAAGTAATCATAAAACTTAGTCACAAATTATAAATAAATTTTTCCTTAACTCCAAAAAGTCGCCCGAAGGTGACGACTCTTGGCAATAACAACAACACCTGTTGTTTGGTTGTCTCCCACACTTTCGTGCATTTCATATCTTTTGATATATTTATGACTGATAAATGTTATACGATAACAACGCAGCGGCATGCAACCTCGTTGTCTATATCAAAAACGAAATCATCGCCTAATCTGCTCCAAAATGTATCCATCAACATAGCTGTCAAGTTATCATAAATTATAGATGGTAGTTGAGGGATTAAATCGGAAACATGCTAATGCATTCTCATAGACATGTAAACAAATATTTAATTTCGGTGAGTTTGCATACCGCTACGAGGTTGGTATGGTAAGGGGAGGGAAAATTTTTCTAATGTTAAAAAAATAAGTTGAAAAGTATCAGTCGGTTTTGCCGACAGTTGTATACACTCAGCCAATGTTCGATTACTTAAAACCAGGAAGGTAAAGTCAAGTATCGGACGGGGTCGACTATGTGATACCCTACACCTCTATGCATATTTAATAGAGCTCCCATAAAAAAAAAATAATTTATTTGAAGTAGATCATACCACCTATCAACATTTGGTTTTACAACAGTTATAGTTGGGTTTCAGAGGGAACTAATATATAGGACGCATATCAAATTCTGAATCGATTTTCATGAAATTTCACGGCTATAGAGTGCATGATAGGATAATATTAAAAGAAATATATATCGGACTCGAGTTTCACAAAATGGAAACATAAGTCCCCAAATTCACTCCATTTTGGCTGATATTAGCCATTATTTGCAGAATAAACCTGAAATCGGATTAACGATATATATGGAAGGTATATCCAAATCTTAGTCGTTCTCGATAAAATTTGGAAAAAGTATTTCTGAGCTCTATAAGATATCTTGTACGAAATATCATTGTTGTCGAATATGAGGGACTTAAAACCCCAAATCGGATGAAACATATATATGGGAGCTACAGCTATATCTGAACCGATTTTCTGATGATTTACTTAGTTCTAGACTGAATTCGATCGCATGTGCCAAAATTCAGGTCATTTGGACTTATATTGGCTATTTGGTGCACAACTAACCCGAAATCGGTTAAAGATATATAAGGGAGCCATATCCAAATCTCATCCGAACTTGATAACATTTGACAGAGGTATTTCTGGGATAGATCTGAAATTTGGTACATAATATCATTGTTGTGGAGTGCATATTACGCATGTAATCCGATTTTCTCCGAATTCGATATATTTGCTTCTAGACTGAACTCGGTCGGATGTGCCAAAATTCGGGCCATTTGGCACACAATTAACCCGAAATCGGTTGATGAAATATAAGGGAGCTATATCCAAATCTAATCCGACCTTGATAAAATTTGACAGAGGTATTTCTGGGATATATCTGAAATTTGGTACACAATATCATTGTTGTGGAGTGCGTATTAAGCATGTGAGGGACTTAAAACCCCAAATCGGATAAAACATAAATTTGGGAGCTATGGCTATATCTGATCCGATTTTCACCGAATTCGATATATTTGCTTCTAGACTGAATTCGGTCAGATGTACCAAAATTCAGGTCATTTGGACTTATATTGGCCATTTGGTGCACAACTAACCCGAAACGGTTGAGGATATATAAGGGAGCTATATCCAAATCTGATCCGACCTTGATAAAATTTGACAGAGGAATTTCTGGGATATATCTGAAATTTGGTACAAAATATCATTGTTGTGGAGTGCATATTGTGAGGGACTTAAAACCTCAAATCGGATAAAACATAAATTTGGGAGCTATGGCTATATCTGATCCGATTTTCTCCAAATTCGATATACTTGCTTCTAGACTGAATTCGGTGAGATGTACCAAAATTCAGTTCATTTGGACTTATATTGGACATTTGGTGCACAACTAACCCGAAATCGGTTACAAGAAACGTTGTGACCCTTTGTTGGTGAGGTACCAGAAGGGGTTGACAGATACATATCAGCTTCACAACAGATATTGTGTAAGCAAAAATGTTTGTATGTTTGAAATTTGAAGAGAGTTAAATGCTTATTTCGTGCTTGTTTTTCAAAATCTTGAAATCTATATGTGGGGAAGGTATCATAAGAAATTGCCCGATCCCCACCATCTTTATAACAGATCTTGTGTTGTTGGATATATTGAGATGTACCAAGCCTGAATGGAATCCGATGTTAATTTCCCGTTTTACATGGATATTCAAAATTTTGAGTTACCAATCTTCACAGCAGATCATGTGTTAGTAGAAATAAAAGAATGTGTGAAATATAAAGAGAATAGGATACTTATTTCGGATTTTATAATCGTTCTGGTTATTCAAAACTATGACCCTTTGTAGGGGAGGTAGCAGAAGTAATGGTCCGATTTCTACCATCTTCACAACAGATCTTGTATTGATGGAAATATTGATATGTTCCAAATCTGAATGGAATCGGATGTTAATTTCACGTTTTTTTAGCTTCATTGGTATTTAAAATGTTGACCCTTTGTGGGGAAGGTACCAGAAGGAATGGATCGATATATTCGATCTTCGCAGCAGATCTTGTGTTAGTAGAAATAATGGGATGTGTGAAATATAAAGAGAATCGCAGGTTTATTTCGGATTTTATAATCGTTTTGGTTATTCAAAACCTTGACCCTTTGTGGGGGAGGTATCAGAAGAAATGGTCCGACTTCTACCATATCTATAACAGATCTTGTGTTGATGGACATATTGAGATGTGCCAAGTCTGAATGGAATCAGATTTTAATTTCTCGTATTATGAGCTCCTTGCATATTCAAAATGTTGACCCTTTGTGACAGAGGTACCAGAAAGGGCGGACCGATATATCTCATCTTTAACGCAGATCTTGAGCTAATAAAAATATTCTGATGTGTGTAATTTGAAAACAATCGAACCCCTACATCACATTTTATAAGAGTTCTAATTATTTAAAATTTTGACCCTTTGTAGGGGAGGTACTTCAAGGAGTGAGCCGATATTGTCCATTTTCGCATCTGACCTAGCACTGATGCAAAGTTGGAGGAAAATCGAATTATCTTTTCTCGTTCTGGGCAGCAAAATATTTTTTTGAAAATGTCTATCTTTTGTGGTGGAGGTACCATAAGAAGAAGTGGACCGATATTGCCCATCTCCGAACTCGATCTAAGTTTGATAATAATATTACGATGTACCAAGTTTGGACTCAATCGGATACTCCCTTCGAGAGTTATAGTGAGGAAAAGCCAGCCAGACGGACGGACATCGCTGGATAGACTCTAACTGTCCTGAAACGGATTTGGTCCAAAGAGACATAGGATCTAAAACCGTTATTTCGATGAGGCATGTTTTGGCCGTATCAAATGATATAAACCCTCTCTAGCCACATGGCTAAGGGTATTACTAGCCATTTGGCTGAGGCTGTAAAAATTTGTTATGCTGACCCACGTCGTCGTATAGCCCCTATATAACGGCACCTCTACATATTCGATATTTTTAAGATTTTAAAGACACTATAAACCGGAATTGTTTCAAAGATAGTATTTAGGACTCGTAATGGGTACTACAGCCTATGACAAAAAAGCAGGCCCACGTCTTCGGTACCTTCCAATATTCGGAATTTTCATGATTTTAGCGACATTATTTGCCAGAATTGCTTCAATTATAGACCAGAATTGTTTCAAAGTTGGCATTTAAAGCTCGTAATGGGTACTACAGCCTATGACAAAAAATTACATATGCAGGTCTACGTCTTCATAGAGGTCCCACATAATCGTACCTGCCAATATTCGATATTTTTTGGATTTTAAAGACATTATAAACCGTAATTGTTTCAAAGTTGGTATTTAATACTCGTAATGGGTACTATAGACTATCCATATTGGTCCCATATAGCGGTACCTCCCAATATTCGGTCGATCCTCGTCTTCGTATAGTGCCCATAAAACGGTTTACATTTAGCAGATAAGTTTCCATTTTTTTTTTAAAAATTGTCATGTTTTTTTTCCAAATGGTTGAGGGTATTAAAAATTCGGCCCGGACAAACTTAGGTGTTTTTTTACTTGCGTTCGATTTCAGAATATCACATTTCCATTTTTTAAAGAAATATCAAGTTTTTTTTTCCAAATGGTTGAGGGTATTAAAAGTTCGGCCCGGACAAATTTAGGCGCTTTTTTACTTGCGTTCGATTTCAGAATAGCACATTTCTGTAATTCTTCCAATGCTTTTTTGTCATTGCCCGATCGAAAGAAATATGCAATACGCCTTTTGTTCAGGCTTTATTGTTTTATGTCTTTGGTATTGCAACCCTATTTAGATTACTTCCCAATGCAAACTTTCAAGACTTCAAAAAATCAGTGTTCCTTCTCCCCTACGCAATTTACCTTCTTACCCCCCCTCTGTATGTACGCACACATTATAATTATTTGTTGTTTTTTTTATTTTTTGCTTATTTTCAGATCTTTTGTTATTTGTTGTTACATGCATCCATAGGCAAATACGAGAAGAATCTCAAAACAAAAGAAAATAAAAAACAAACGAAAAAAAGCACAACAACAGCCAACAGCAACCATAAAAATAAACAACTGTGATAATTATTAAAACACCAGCAACATCATCCAGGAGAACAACAACAACAACAATAGAGGCAGCAACAAAACAAATAACAACACTATATTATTATGTCTCAAATAAACCATAAACATTGGTATTCTCCATCACGATCAGGCTCTGCAACACCACCATACAACAGAGCAATGAAACAACGCCACCACCAGCTACCGTTGCTATTCGCCTTCGGCTGTTTGCTGTTCCTGGGTCCTCTGGTGGCCCATGCAGCCGTCGGTGTAAATGAACGATTTGTATACAATAAATCAAAAGAGGATATAAATGCGTCTGATGGTGGAGCTGGTGCTGGTACCGGTAGCGTGGAAGATGCCAACGATACAGATACAACAAATGTAAAACTCTTGGGAGAATACGAAACAGATCCGGTAAGTGAAAAATATTTAATTCTTGCTTTTGTTCTTTTTTTTAGATTTTGCACATGGCATATTTTTGGAAAATTTGCTTGCATAGAAATTTGGAGACCTCATGGCTCTTCTGTTGCCTTCATGGAAGACCTAAACATTTTGGAAGTCTCTAATTTCATAGAAGACAGTTTTACACAGGTCTAAGCTCTATAGAATACACTATATCATCCTGGAGGGCTTTAAAGGTGTTTATCTCTATAGAAACATGAGAAGTCTTCTGTTTCCATAGAGCAACTAATAGATCTTCCATCCCCTGTTTCCATAGAATACTTGAATGGTCTATCGGCTCCATGAACGATCTGAGAGATATTCTGTCTCTATAGCAGGCTTGAGAGCACTTCTGTCTCTGTATATAAGACCTGAGAGGTCTTCTGTCTCTACAGAAGATCTGAGAGGTCTTTTGTCTCCATAAAATATCTGAGAGGTCTCCGGTTTTCATTGGAGACCTGAGAGGTCTTTTGTCTCCATAGAAGATCTGAGAGATCTCCTGTCTCCATAGGACACCTGAGAGGCATTATACTTCCAAAATACATGTGAGAGGTATCCTTTCTTCATAGGAGACCTGAGATGGCTTCTGTCTCCGTAGAAGATCTGAGAGGTTTTCTGACTCCATAAAAGATATGAAAGGTCTATTTTCTGTATAGATGACCTGAGAGGTCGTCTGTCTCTATAGATGTCCTACGGGGTCTTCTATCTCCACAGAAGATCTGAAAGGTTTTCTGTCCGGAGACCGGAGAGGCCTTCTGTCTTCATGGGATACCTGAAAGGCCTTTTGTCTGATATCTGTTAGGTTTTCTGTCCCTATAGAAGATATGAGAGGTCTCCTGTCTCCATAGGAGATCTGAGAGGTCTCCTATCTTCATAGGAGGCCTGAGAGGTCTACTATTTTTATATGAGACCTGAGAGGTCTTCTGTCTTCGCAGAAGATCTGAAATGTCGTCTGTCTCCATAGATGAACTGAAAGAGCTTCTAACTCCAGAGAAGACCTGGGAGGTCTTATGTTTACATAGAAGACCTAAGAGATCTTCTGTATCTATAGAAGACCTGAGATATCCTTTGACTTTATAGGAGTCTTGAAAAGTCTTCTGTCTCCATAAAAGACTTGAAAAGTCCCCTGTCTCCATAGAAAACTTGAAAGGTCTTCCATGTCCATACAAGACCTGAGAAGTCTTCTTTTCTCGTAGAAGATCTGAGAGGTTTTCTATCTTCAATGAAGATCTGAGAGGTCTTCTGTCTTCCATTTCCATCGTAGACCTTAAAGGCCTTGTAAGTTCATGTGAGATATTACAGGCCTTCAGTCGCCATAGAAGAACTTACAATTCATCCATTTCTATATGAGGCCTTAAAGGTCTTCTATCTTCATTCAAGATCGTCTTTATCCTTTAAAGGCCCTAAAAACGTCTATTTCAAGGAAGGGCTTAAAGGTTTTCTACATGCATAGAAGTCCTTAAAGGTGGTTTATACGGGAGCATAATTCGACTTTTATTTAATTGACTTCGGAATTAAGAAGTTCAAAACGAATTTCTTACTGAAAAAATGCGAAATCGACTTTAAATGATCGATTTTCGACTTTGAATGTCGACTTTAGATAATCGATTTTCGACTTTGAAATAATGTGTTTGGATAGGCTTTTATTTATTTGGTACCTAAAAGTATGCTTTACATGTTTCGATTTTTTACTCCGTTTGTTAGAAGTGGATCGGAAGTAAAAATATCTATTTTTAGTTGATTGAACACAATCTATTGACCAAAACGTTTACTATTTGTTTAAAGGCTTCGTATTTTTAATAGGAGGCCACTAGAGCAGCACCGCAGCCAGAAATGCCGTTCGAAACCATTTCGGGACGTGCCCAACCAACAAAAAATTAGCCTTTCAAGCTAAAATTTCCTAAAAGTATATACAAAATTACTATGTCGGAAGGTTCCTGGTCAACGTCTTCGTTGGTGCACTAGAGCAGCCTTCGTCCCTATAATACCTCTAAAAACGGTCTTAACCTTCCGTCTACATTCACCTACTAGATCTACAAAATCCAATTAGAATTACCTGTGAAGCTTCTCATTTTAGATAAATGCTTCTCATTTTAGATAAATAATAGAATAATGTCCTCCATTTTTTATTATATTTTATACGACCCCCTCTAATATACCCCATCCCTCACCGTGTACGTGTCATAATAAACCAACACGAATCGGTAATAATAATCATAATTTTGAAGAAGCATTTAAGTTTATTTTTAATCCCAAGCTAAAAAAGAGCAACAACAACAACAATTAAAATTATACTCCATTTAAATTGCGAGTGCGTGCGTGTGTGTAAATCAGAGAATAAAAAAACTATTGCCGTAGGGAAGGAACACTAAATATAAACATCCTGTACTCGGTTTTATGACCATTGAATGGGCCATTTGCACATTTTGCTTTAAACGTTTTGATGGGAAATTCGCATTTTTATGTCATAATTTTTTTTTGTGGAAATTTGGTGTTAAATAACAACTTTTATGTTGTCGGACGGAGATGGACATTTATCCAAGGAATGGATTTTGTTTAGCTCCCAGGGAGCATATAATACGACAATGTAATAGCTTTTTATGGAAAAACCACTGTGTACTTTTTTTACCGAAAAAAAAAAATCTCAATATTTTTTGGCTTTGATAAATCCAACCAGATTTGCCATCATAAATTACTCTTCAAATGACGGGATTAATTTTTAATCAGATATTACCAGATCATGAAAACAATGGGGTTTTAATTTCAAAGCAAAATAAGTTACAAACCCCATTACCAAGTAATGAAATTCATCAGCACAGAGTTCTGGTTAAAACAGCTCATGCACGCTGCGTGTTTTGTTTCACTGTAAAAGTGCGTGCTCTTTTAAGAAAATTCATCATGCACCTCTTCCAGGTCATTTTTACTCAAAAAGAAAAAATTTAGATTTTGAAGTGAAGATCAGCCAGAAGCATACGAAAAGCTACCAATGCATCCAGAAAAAGTCGCAAAAAAGTTTGGTTCGTACTTCTTCAAAAATGCTGCTAAGTGTAATATAACTGTGAATGCTTAGAGCTACCGTGAGATGATATCCAACTGTTTTTCTCCAAAATGCAGGGGATTGACTGACATGACATGAGATCTCTTTGTAATTTTGTTTGTTCTTCTTTTACTTGACTTTTTATTAAAAATACAATTTTTGTCAGGATTTCCTTGAACAGATTGTTCTTAAAAAAATCCACGATTTAGGATATTCTTGAAAAGACTTTTTTGCAAAAGACTACGAGTTTTCGCCAAAATGTCCTTAAAATTTGTTTACGAAAAATCCACGAATATTTGGTTTGAATGTCCGTGAAAATTTTTTCTTGAGAAATTCACAAAAAAGTTTTCTTAACAAATATACGATCATTTGATTAGGATGTCTTTTGAAATCATATCTTCACAAACACTTCATATTTATGTTAGCTAGTCCTTGGATTTTTGTTTTCAGAAATCAACGATTTCTTGACCGCCTTGAATTATTTTCTTGAAAAATACACTTTTTTGGTGAGGATTTTTTGAAAAATTCAAGATTTCATATCAGATTGTCCTCGAATTTTTTTTGATGGATTTAAAAGTTTTTCTTGAAAACTCCAGTATTTTTTGTTCAAGATGTTCAAGAATTTTTTTAAATTCTTTGGTATTTTTTTAGATTTAATATACCCTCAGCCATATGGCTACAGAACGTATATATCATTTGATACAAGCATAACGTGCCTCATCGAAATAAAGGTTTTAGACCCTAGGTCTGTTTGGAAAAAATCCGTTTCAGGACATTTAAAGTCGATCTTGCCATGCCCGTCCGACAGTTGGTGCACACTATAACATCGTAATATTATTATTAAACTAAGATAGAGTTCGGAGATTGGCAATATCGGTCCACTCCTTCTGGTATCTCTCCACAAAAGTTCAAAATTTTCAAAAAAATGCACAGAAAGAGAAAGGATGTTCCAATTTTGCTCCAACTTTGCTAATATTTGCCTCAGTGCTAAGTCAGGTCAGGGCAAAGGTCAAAATATGGAATAATTATAACTCTTCTAAAATGTGATGTAAGAGTCCGATTGTCTTCAAATTACACACATCACAATATTTTTATTAACCCAAGGTCTGGTTGGAAAATGAAATATATCGCTGCAATCTTTCTGGTACCTCTCCCACAAAAGGGCCAAAATTTTGAATAATTATATCTCTCATAAATCTCTTAAAAATTCCACACATCCCAATATTTCTACTAACACAATATAGGGTTTGAAAATGATGGATATCGGTGAATTTTTCTGAGCACTCTCTCCGATAATTCCTCCTCCACAAAAAGTTATCATTTTGTCTTACAATTATTCGCATAAAATTGAAAATACATTTTGCACACATTAATATTTTTATCTGTATTATATGAAGTGGAATACTTCGATTACATCTGGCATCTCACGCACATTTCAACATTTTCTAAAAGTTATCAGATTTTTCATATTAAGTGATATAGCCCGAATATGGCACGTAGTAATATTTATATCAGACATATATACGAGAGGAGGTTACTTCGGAACCTCCCCCATAAATGCTCAACGTGATGAATAATAAATACGAATGCCAAAGTATATTTAAATAGACGGACAATAGCTGAGGGTATACATCGGTCGGTATAAACCGGCTGATACTTTTAAAATATTTCTTAATTGTTTGCAATTTTTTCTTGAAAACTCCGCAATTTGTTTGTCAGGATGTCCTTGAAAACTTTTTCTTGAATAATTCACGATTTGTTGATAAGGAAATCTTTAAAAAATCATTGAAAAATATAAGGACGTCCTTCAAAATAGTTTTTTTTTTTTTTTCAAAAAAAAAGCCACAACTTTCCTGACAAATCAACGATTTTTTTTGGTCAGATAAATTAGTTTGTCGGGATATCCTTGAGAAATCCAAAAGTTTTTGCTCAGATA